TCTGCTAGGGAGAAACACTGAAGATAATTTCTGAACTAAGCTTAGCAAAATACCAAGCACCACTATCCACTGGATTTTACTATTGAGAAGGAATAAAATCTTCAGTATTATAGTCATTGTTCCTACCCTTCCTAAAATAATAAATTTCTCCTTACTTAAGTCAACTTAAGAAAAATTACTCTATGCCTTCACAAGACAGCGATTCATACTCTATAGAGCAACAGTCTTCGATATCTATGTTGTGACACATACAAATTAGATACTAATCATTCTGTCAAGAAATAAGAATAAACCTAGAGTGAGAAAAACTTCATTTTTCCTTGCCCATTTCTTCAACATACATTTCTTCCTTTCCATGAATTTACTTATTGGATCCATAATATCGTCGTCATTTTTAGTTTTGTCAGATGGAGACACTACAGCTTCTCCATCTTCCATGTCATCTTCATCTGTGTTAAACCACATCTCCTCTTCATCTTCTAGTGTTCTGGCATCTCTTCGATATCTATGATTCCTCAAAATTGAACGCATACTATGAGTAAAGAGAAGAAGGTAGAGTAAATAGACTCATAAAGACTTTCATTACAGTCTTCAAGTATTGCTCTGAATTGGATATACTCTTAACCCATTTCCTGTTTGCCTCGAGAATACTTGCTGGTGGCTACATTTCCCCTGAAATAACTCAGGGATTACAGGCCTAACCTTACCCCCAAATTTGCCATGAAATATCCTGCTTTTATTATTATTTTCGCATTGCTCTAGTAGATCGATAGTCTTTGAAAACAACATTCTATTTATAGCATTGTTTTTAGTAGTGGTATTTCCATTTACAAAATATAGTAATCCTGATTGCTGAAAATATCAAATCCTAGAAAACGTAGCATTCCTACGTGTGATATTAACATCATTCTCAAACAGTTGTTAGAAGATTCATTTGATGAATCCTATTTAGATATATATTTCTGTTACATTAGGAGTAGAGACAAGTTCTTTTTAGAAATAACTCCAAGAACAATTTTTATATCTTATTTTCACTCTGAAGACCACTCAGATTTGCTTCAGCATCAAAGGGCGTGTTTATGTAAAATTAAATTAATGCTGGCAGTGAACTGTACTTTTTTTCTAAACAGGAAATGGGTTAATAAATTAATAGCATAAAACAAACTTATACATATAGAGGTTGACAAAAACAGTTTAATCCACATAAGATTGAAAAACACTCCACCATATCTAGTATTAACTAGTGGAGTCAAACTTCCTATTATCAAATCAGTTATTAAATTTAATATTAGGAATTAATAAGTCATAACTTATGGCTATAAAAATATACCATAAGTATGTGAATTCGGGTATTTGGGAAAATGTACAAGATTTCTTAAAATAATTTGTAACTTTGAAGTAATTCGAAGTAAGATAATATTCTGATTGGTTTGGACACATGAAGCCTCATTGTCACCTAAGAGTTTAGGTTTTTTTTCTTTTTCATTGTCTTGTTTGATACATGCCTGAGGAAGTGACTACAGAAAATACTAACATCCACCCTCACCTTCAAGAAAACATTTATATTGACCATTACACATAAAACTACAACTTCTGTTCGCTCTCTGCTATTTCCTCTCCTACCACGCCAAACAGTACCAAACAAGTAAAAAAAGAGCCACTACCATATAACTTCTCACTGCACGAATAGGTTCAAATATGTGGTAATTTACCTGTCAAGTTTGGGATTATCTTGCCTTTCTCTTTGTTGTTCAAATCTCAGTTTTAATCCTTTAAATGTCTGTACATAATCTACGTCTTCCAGTGCCTTCCAGTAATTTTCAATTACATGAGCAGTCAATGATTTTATATCTTCCTATAGAAAATTATAATAAAAAATGAGATGAAAATGTTATTTTAGAAGATATGACTGAACTGTAGTGAATTGATAAACCCATCTCAAAAAGTTTTACAGTCTTAGAGATAATCAAATAATGAAAATGGGCATAACATAGTGGCTACTTCAACAAGTCCCTGATTTTTGGTGTACCTCAGAATTATCTATGGGTCTTTCCAGAGTAAACGCCCAGGTCCCATCCTAGATAATGTGTACTCAGTAAGTCTGGGTAGGATCTGGCATGTATATTTTAAAATCACACCACAGAAAAGTGCTAGAGATGGATGGTGGTGATGGTTGCACAATAATGTGAATGCACTTATTAATGCCACTGAATTGTAAAGTTATAAATGGATAAAATGGCAAATTTTATGTATATTTTACCGTATTATTTTAAAAGCATGCCACAAATAATTCCAACACGCATCAGTGTTTTAGAACCACTAGCCTACTATAATCTTAAAAAAAATCAAGAAAAGTTTGTTATGAAATTGCTCTTTAGAAATGGGAGAAAGAAAAATTAGAAACCTCAAAGTTAAAACAAACCAAAACACATCCAATACTTATTTTAAGAAAGTAAAATTACAGTTGATGAGTACTATGACAGTGTTAAATCAGTTTTCAAACTATCTTATAAAAAGGAGTCATAGCTGCTAAGAGATTATTTTAGTTTTAATTCAGTCTCTCACAAGCTTTTGGTAACACTGGTTTTCTTTTAAAAAGTCTCTCCAAATATATTCTCGAATAAGCCAAAATACCAATAATGCATACTTAAGTTTGTCAAACATTTAAAACCAAAATTCTAACCAAAAAAGTACAGAACCTACCACTCTAATAAATTCAAACATCTCTATTATGGCAGAATTCATCAGATTATAACGGGATCCATTGTTGAGAAATGCTTTGACGACTGGTTCAAACAAAAAACTTTTCATTATGTAGCGGTTGTAAAACTCATCTTTTAATCCAATAATCTTTCTCTTAAAACGAAGAGCACCTGAAACACAGAGGCATTGTTCAAATTACATACCACACTCCCATATTTTTAGACTTATAAAAAAAACTTTAACAAATATAATTCTTTGTGTAGTCATGTTACTGCTTCCAGAAGTGTGAACCTAAAGATAAGGATTACAAAAGGGTTATCAGAGAAATGTATTATGAAAGTAGTGTATGTCATCATAGAACACAAGTCTTAGAAGGCCAGGAAAATTCTGGAAATAAGTTACTAATGACCAAAATGTATTTTACTTCTGAAATAGCTAAGATAGGGCTAGTAAATGAATTAACCTATAATACTAAAAATGAAAATTCTAAACATATATATATATGTATACGCATACATACATACACACACCACTTTTAAAACAATAGAAAAACCATTGTTTTATTAGGGCAATCCACTGTGTAAATTGATTTTCATTATTTTGGGGCACTTATTATTTTACATCAGAATTCATGGGTTGCATTGGCTTATTTGTGGATGTTTATACCCACAAAATCCACATGACCCAAAATTTGCCTTCCCATATAAATTTAGAGGATGTTTTTTAAAATGTGGTCCTCTAGGCTTATTGCAGCGAGTATGCTTTTTAATTTTTTCCTACTTTTCCTTTTTTTACAATTGATTAGGCTTTAACTTACAGATTATAAGGTATATTTACATCTTGAGGTATGGGGAGTTACTTAAGTCACCATTCGTCAAGATCCAAATATACGCAGCCAGCTAGACTTCAACAAAGCCCTCTTTACCTAAATGGAATTATCAGTAAGTTAATGCCCCAGTATTGTAAACAGTTCAAAAAAGCATACTCACTTCATGCAGTCACATCGTCTTCGGTTGGCAAGATTAAATATTGTGTTTGTATTTTGGTTTCTTTGGAGATCATAGAAGTGGCTCGTTAAATTGCCAATTTGTTATTAATCAAGTCCTTCATGAGCAGGTAGCCAGGCAACCATGCTGACACGGTTTCTGGGTGGGAAGGCAGAGGAGTAAAGCAGCTCAATTTTTCTTTAGTTGGCAGAAAAAGAGGTCCACAAGTGAATGCCCAATTAGCTACAGCTGATTACAAACTGCCTTAACAATCCAACTTTAAGAGTGTCTCTTTCTAAACAGACACTCTGGGCAGGGAGTTTCAAGGGAGTTTCAAAATAGTTTATAGAATAGTAATTGCATTTTATTTTTTAAACTACTGAATATTTTCAAATACATAAGCATGGTGAAATAAGACATTTTAAACAATAAGAGGCATCTTTCTCTGTTTAAGTCAAATCCAAGTAAGGGTTTATTTTCCCAAAACAATGGTTTTAGAGTTTGGTTTTTCTTTTAATGTTACTAGACAAAGGAACTTAGGCAGTTCCACTTGTTAGAATAAAAATCAGTATTTTAGAGCTCATGTTTTAATAAAGCCAAATTTTAAGCTTTTAGTAACTTAGGCAAGACCTCAAAGCCTGTATTCCAACTTTGCAGGCTTTTGTGGAGACTTGTGTCCTATCATAACATACACTAGCTGAACCCTGTGGTCTGCATGTAGTTCCTAGTAAGAGCAAAGACACTCCCTTCCTAGAATTCACTAATGCCAGGGTATGCAGATGGCACCACCATCTCAAGATCAGTTCTGTTCGGAAACTGATGTAGATAGAAGGTAATTCTAATGGTCTTTTTTGTTTTGCTCCTCATTTCAATTTGCCCTCATTTATTTCTATCAAGAACTGTTTTGTTTCCACTCAAAGCCCTCCCCAAAAAGAAACCTGCATCAAATACATCTAACCACTATTCTTTGCTGTTGAATAAGAAGTTGCTTTTGCAAATTTACCAGTGAGTTCTATGCAGTCAAGTTGCTGAAAGGGGTTTTAGAGAAAGCTTTTGGAATAGATCAAATTGGCATAACCATAGGATTTTCAGTGTAAAGTGCATTCTGCTTCCACTCACATCTCTAACCTTCATTAACATTCCAGGAATCTCTTGTACTGTTTGAATCATCTCTAAAACAAAAATTTTGTCTTTACCTTATACAACATGAGATTTCATGTAATAAATTTAAGACTTTTTGCCTCATATGTAACTAATAGATGAATAAAAGCATCTACGACAAAATTTTTCTTTATTTCATTCCTCTTACAGAGTTCCATATTTTTAACAACAAAAAAAGCAGACAACATAACAGTATGAGCTAAAAGGCTACGATGTAAGATTCAAGAATCCTGAAAAGGCCAAGAAGACTGATACAACTGGTATGTATGTTTGTACACACACACACACGCACACACACACATCTAACCTATAAACACTAAGTTTTGAAGGGATGCCAGTCTCACCTACAGACTTGATTAGTTGCCTTTAAATATAATAAAAGTATATTAAGAAGCGGCAGATATAAAAAATGAAGTTTCCCTAAGTCCCCAAACTGTTTACATTTAACCACTTATCTTTTGTTCTTACAAGTATGCATCTAAATTTACTTATAAACCCCTCCCTTAAAAAATACTAATATATTTTTCTGGTTCAGGGCCATGCCACCCTGAACAAGCCCGATCCCGTCTGATCTCAGAAGCTAAGCAGGGTCAGGCCTGGTTAGTACTTGGATGAGAGACCACCTAGGAAGACCAGGTGCTTTTGTAAGCTAACAAGGTCCTTGCAATCTGTGAGGTCAACAGATTGGGGGTTGCCTAGCCTTTAAAAAAAAAAAAAAAAAAAAATTAAAATAATATTTCAATGTACTCCTTCCTCAGAAGACCAAAAATATCTTAAATCTCCTCAAATTTATATTTGTTCTTTTAGAAGTTGTTGATAGAAATACTGCAAATCCAGCTGTAAACAGCTTGTTCCTGATAACTGGCATCTTCTTTCAGAAGCTACTCATATTCTCAGTCCTAGGAAGACAGCCATACTGAGAATCATTTGAGAAAGAGTTAGGTTTTTAATGATAACCTAACTTAGTTTGGAAAATATTAACAGTAATAAAATAGAAGGTTTTTCTAGCATGCTTAATTTTCCTACAATACAAATTTTCATTAACTTGTAATGATTCTATTCATAGTTCTCATTAAATTATAAGAAATTTTCTTTGCAATACTACAAGCAAAATGAAATGAAAAACTGAAGAATAAAAAGGCCTTTCCTTTCCTGCCACTCTCCCACTGGATTCATGGGTTCTACCTATACCAAACCACTAACACACCACACTTTTTGTCACACTCTCCCATGACCAAAGCAAATTCAACTGAACTCTTGCAAAATTTCCCTGGTCTGCCTCATTCATGTAGAATAAATCATTTCCATTATACTTCAAAACACATCATAATATAGTGCTTATGAGGTTTATTTTAATTTTTATAGACTGTCTCTTCCTAATGAACTCTGATCCCCTTGACAGCTGAGTCCAGGTCTTAATCTTCTTTATTTTCCTAGTACCAGGTATGTTTCAAACGTCATCAAATCTAAGATGCCACTAATTGCAAAAAACTTTTCTCTCTTCTGCTACTAAGAAAACAAAATGAACAAAAAAGAACTAGTCATGACAAGCCATTAAATTGTACGACTCACCTTGATTTGAGAAATGATAAATGCATAAAAATACATGTATCAGAAATAACGAAATATAGTAGTATTTAATAAATTTACTGAAATAAAACATGCAGTTGATCCATCCTGTCCCACCTGCTCACGAACTCCCCTTCCTGCACTGAAACAAAACCTATGTTGACATGAAAAAAAATTCAAAGCAACAATCAACTCCCTCTCAACTTGGTTTTGGGCTCTCACTTTTGCTGTGATAGGTATAGATGGAAAATGAACATAAATTTAAAAGGACTTCTTTCACATGTGCTAATAAGTCCATAGATATATGCAATAGTAAAGCAGAACCAAAATAAATGAATTTATTTTTTGCTGTCCTTAGCAGTCTAGGTTAATGCCACCTATTACTTTTGCTGAAAAAAAAATTACTACGGTAATATCAAAAGATCTGGGTAATTAGCAGAAAGTACTAAATATCTGAAAGTTGGAAAATGAAAATATACTCTGACCAAATGTATTCTCAGTACATACTGCACAGTGTACACTAATCTGAAAAATGAAGTCAACTATAATAACTGTTAACCATGATAGAAAGTTTAATGACATACTTTTGAAGATAAAATGTAGGCAAAAAGAACAAATCAACACTAGAAACATCCTATATACACACAATGCTTTTATAATTTAAGGGTATTTTTAAAAATCATAAGCAGAAATTTTTTTAATGAAATAAAAACAGCAAAAATAGATGTATAGTTCAGACTTCTAATTACTATATGATTATGATACCTTTAAACAAACAAACAAAAACAACTAAACTTACCTATAAAAACTAAAAGGCAAAACTTAATTACCAGTAGACATCTCTAGGATACCCCTAAAATTGTCTGCCAATTTACCAAAGGCAACTGGCTGTTACATGATCAAGAATATTCTGGAATAACCTATTTCCTATTCAGAAAAAAAATGTTTGTACTTCAAAAAACTAGTGTCTTATGAACACAGTGGAAGTCAATTTTTGAAAAACACGTATAACTAAAAACCATCTTGTTAAAAGACTGTTGCTCTGAAGAGTTAAGTATTCCCATAAACGTGTATGCTTTGTGGCCCACAGAAGCTTTTTTTTTTTAACAACCCTTTAAAAATATGAGAACCATTTTTCAGGTTGCAGGTTGTGCAGAAATAGACCACAGGCTGGATTTGGCCACAGCTGTAGTTTGCCATCCCTGCTTTAAAATATCTGAGGTAACACAATATTATATGTCAAATATATTGTAATAAAGCTGAGAAAGAAATATTTGTGGAATTAACAAATGGACCATCTGTAGACATTTGTGCTAGGCATTCTATAACTCAGAATGAATGTGTTTTAGAAACTCAGAAAGAATGTGTTTTAGGAATTCAGTTCTATTAGCTATAAATTTTCCAAATTATCAAAGTTCTTCATGATTTCATGTGATGCTATAGTCTCGCAATGCCCAATTTGTAATTAGTAATGCTGTACTAAGTCGAAAAAATAACTGAGGTAAAATGATCTAAGGTGCCATCTTAATGATGGACTATAATCCTTTAATATGTATTTTTAGAGACACTCTAACCCCTTTGCTATGTGTTAATGAGAAAGAAGTGTGTCAGGATAATCACCTGCTCAATATGTGACACAAGGACATACTCAGTGTAGAAGTATTAGAACCTAGATCTCCTAACCTAAGTCTATGATCTTTTCTTCTCAATGAAACCTAAAGATACCAACAAAATGGTAACATGTAGGTAATACATACTTCTACCAGAAGCAACACTTACATAATGCCAAGAAAGCATGCTTTGAGGCCATGAGAACTAGCACTCTCCGGAGGATGTCCTTATTAATAATGTAGTTCTTTATGTGATAGGTATGGTGCTCCACACAGAACGTTAACAACTCCAATACAAGTGCTAACAACTGGGCAGTCTGAAAATCATCTAAAACAAAACACAATTATATTGATGGTTAATATTCTTTTCCTCCTCAAATGTAAAATTCCAATTCCAATCAAGTAAAGTCCTTTCTATGAACCCAAATATTTTAAAGGAAAAGGAAACTTAATATTTATTTGAATGTCTACCATATGTCAAGAATGCTGCTTTACACTTTTCTTTATTTAAAACAACTCTGTAAGGAATTAGTTTCACAAGACCATGTCTGAGAAGTTAGTAAGGCAGAGATGGGATACACTATTAGATCTGCTGTATTCCAAAGTGGAAGACTGCTCTATCATGTCTTAACACATCCCTTGACAGGTGTACATATAGCATTAGCGGTCCTGCCAGACACCATCTGGTCTCTGGTGGAATTAATCTCTCTGCTCCTAAGATTCCAGTGTGTTTTGTGCCTCCTTTACTACACATAATGAGTCCACACTCAATTATAATTACTGGCTTATCTTCCTCACCAGGCAGCAAACCTCTGGAAGTATTTTACTCACATTTCTCAATTACCCCATTAAGACCCCAAAGCTTATATATAGCACAGTGCCTTCCATGAAATGGGTTCCCAAAAAAAGGTTTGAATTGAACATGTGGTTTGGAAAGGAGCCTCAAACTTTACCTAGTATGAATAAAGTAGATAGGAAAAATGAATATCATGTATCCAACACTTGCTTCTAGTTACAAAAAAAGGTAAATTTAACATTTATTTTCTAGGTGGTGTCAAAAATACTGGTAATTCTTATGACAAAATAATATATTCTCAAAACTTCAATAAAGGATTTCCCAATGAAGACCTTAAAGCTATTTTCTAAATTAAACACATAAGCTAAAGCAGTAAAATGCAGAAATAATCAAAACATAGGAATAATCTTTAATGCAAATAAAAATAGCTTAATATTGAGCACAGCTCTTCTCTACTACACATCTGGAGTACAAATAAATTTTTTTCATAGCTACTTCTATTTCTTTCACTGATGTAAATATAAACTAAATATAAATACTGCTTTAACAAAAAAACTTAAAATTCTAAAGCAACAATTAATCTTTTTATTTTTTACCTTTCTGTTATCTCTGATTATAACACTTTAAAGAAATTTTACTTTGAACACCTCTTTTAAAATTAGCCTTAGATCTCTATGTTGACACCAACTTTGAGTTTCAGAGTTCAAGAACAAAGAAGTTAACTACCAACCTGCATTATCTTACCTTTGCTAGGTTTGTCTTCTGTTGTATTTGCCAATAAAGGAGCAGTGAGGACATGCATACAGTGTTTGTAGAAGAAACCCAGAAATTCAGTCTTTTCTGTTTTCTAAGGAATCAAAAATAGTTCCATGAACTTTAAATGCGTCGGTTCCTACCAGCAATAAACAATATACTAGTATGATAAAGAGAAGAATGCCTATGGCTTACATTGGCAGTAGCTAACATGTTCTCTGGGTCAACTAAAGTTCGAAGCAGGCCCATAAGTTGGACCGCTCCTCCAAGTTCAGGGTCTGTATCACAAATCATATGTTCTATAATGAGGTTGATGAGCAAAATATCCTGGTGAGAAAAATACAAATAAAGATCACTTATTACAGGAGAGGATGGAAAAAACACATTCTATGACATACTATAGCATTATACCTCACTCTAGCTATCTTGTTACAAACCAAATGAAATGATTGACTGACTTCTTCAATAAGATACATGGCAGTGTTTCCTTGAAGTGTGGTACAGGTACATTACACTTAAGAGTACCGAAAAGAAAATTTCTTTTTGTTATCTTTAAATCCTTCTGATTAAAACAAAAACAGTTTAAGGTTGGTGCTAACAGATCTTTACACCTCTTGATAACAAAATATCCCTCCTGAAGAAAACTGATGGGTCTTCTAAGGTTCATAGCTTTAACAGTAAAAATATTTAGCTAGAATTTGTAACACTGTTATACTTTCACTGCATTTTTATAGATTCCTTCTCCTCCTATTTATGGTAAATGATATCTATATCTCTTCTCCATTCATGGAAATGATAGAAAGTTTCCATTTAAAGTAAATTTAAGAAAAAATTAGTTGGTACCTGAATGTCAGAAATTGGGAAAAACGAGATTACAATATTTAGAGGATGCACACAAGAACAAATGTATTGTAGAGATTCCAAATGTCATAGAAAACTAAGTGCTAGTTTTCCTAAGGCTCTACTATGACTGGTGTTCCTTGCCCAAGGAATAAATAAAACATGAGAGGGATTCAATAAGAAAATCCTTGCTCCTGCCAATATATGCAATGATAGGATGGAAAGAAAGAAAATGCAGACAGTATAAAGAAACAATGATAAGGACTGGGAATCAAGAGACCTACTGCATGTGAGTCAAGTTCATCAGTGTATGTTCAACTAGCAGGTTACAGGGCCAACAAGAATAACCTTTACTTTAAATAATACAGATACTTTGGTTTTCAAGAAAAACATGACATAATATTCGACAGTTCAGACTGGTAGTTTTCTACATCTATTCTGACACTCCCATTAAAAAAAAACAAAACTTTAAATATAGATGTTACTAGGCATTCCACTTCATTTTGACATCACAGCGCGCTACTTTTTTAAAAAAAGTATTTTCTCATTTTGTAAAAATATGAAAAACAAAAAGAATTATAGCCTAAGAGGATATATTTTCCCCACATCCCATGAGGAGTTGAGGGAAGAATATCTTAGTTTATTATTAAGTAAAAAATTACTTCCAAGATTTTATAGGGGACAATCAATCATTGCTTTAATTATCTGAAAATAAAACAGCACACACATTTGGGCCATCACATATGCCATGTACCACCATAAACTCTGGGAGTGCCCTTCCCATTAGCAGGATATATTCTCTCACTTACTTTAAAATTGGTATCTGTGTGTCTGTGATCAAGACAACAGCTTGTTCCCTATGGTTAGGTAGTAAAGAAAGCACCTAAATACTATCCAAGAGACTGTGTTTCATTTCTTCATTCTTGATTTTGAGAATCCCTAGCAAAGTCACTGTTTTCCTAAGGCAATTATTCATAATTCCACATACAGAACAATTTATTAGCTGAATGATTTAAACCAGACAATATAGTAAGTTAACTTCAGAATTAAGAAACTTGACCTCAAAAACTTAAAAAGGAATTTAAGTTGAGCACTAATAAAATAGCTGAAGATATACTTTAAAACTGAGACAGGAGCCAATTTAGGGGAAGGATAAGCCATTTGATATCATGGCTACACTTTTCCCAAATATTAACTATTTAAATCTTAACTAAAAGAAACACAGTTATAGCTCCCCATGTATATTATACTTACTGTTAGTGCAAATAATATTTACCTTGTTGGTTATTTTTTGCTCTGTTAACTTCTTACTTACATCATCATTCTGTTGTGCCTCCTGCATGACAAACTCTCGTACCATGGATGGATTATATTCAACCAAGTATGAGAATATATCAGTAGCAGCACTTCGCACCTGTGTATCATCCATGCCCTGCAGATAAAAAGCACTTATTTCTCCTATAATTATAAAAATATGGAACTTACAGCTACATAAATCTAAAACCTAACAAATTTTAAGAAAACACTGCAATTATAAAAAAGAGGTCAAGGAAATTCTGCTGCATGTAAAAACCACTGATATAGAGATAAAGATATGCTTTCTTTTGTTCCTGTTTACTCTTCTACTTTAACATGTCAACAGGCTGCAAAATTGCAAATTAGTTTTAAAAACATGGAAAATTCCCGAGTACTTTTTCAGTACTGTGTAAGAACTTTAATACTAGAATTTTATAGTTTTTTAACTTTGTAATATACAGCTAATATTAAATGCTGGCTGTAATCAAATACCTGCATGTAACAAAAATATATCATTTTGGTAGATTAAAAATATAATGGTAATTAAGTAAGGAGAAACAAACTTACAAGGATGACTTCTAAAGCTGGTAATATGCCCATGTTTGACAAAGTCTTGAAAAATGCATCTCTGTTTTGAGGTTGCAGTGTTTGGGAAAACGCACAAAATTCTTTTAAAAAGTTAACCTGAAAATAGGAAAATGGTTAAGTGACTATAGAAAGTTTGTAGTTTTAGCTTCATGTCCTTTTTTAATATCAAATTTCTTACCAATTCCTGTCTTTTTTCCTCATCTGTTGCTTCATCTGTTAGTTGTGCAAACAAATCTGTCAGAAATTTTTCATCTTCCTATGAAATCAAAGGATAAATTATGCAAATTGTAAGAGTGTAATACAAATGGTAAGAGTATAATAATTTTAAGATGCTATAATAGAAGATATAAATTGCAGTTAACTAGAAAAAGGAAAAATGGTATTGATGATGTTTTTTTTAAAAGAGAAGGAAACCAAACTATTAAAGGGTAAACTGACAATTACAGAAAGATTGTTCTTTATATTTTGGCAAGGCTCTATTTCCTAAGCCTGTTTTAAGGGCCACAGTGTAAATATTTGCAGGCTGTATGGTCCCTACCACAACTACTCAGCTCTGTTGTTACAGTAAGAAGCAGTCATAGACAGTATGTAAATGAATGTGGCTGTGTTCAAATAAAACTTCATTTACGAGAACAGGTATGAGCCATAGTTTACAGAACCCTGGTTTTCATAGCATTTCATGACCTTAACTTTAGCAGCTCTATAACCTCTCAAATGAAGATAAAAGTGAAGGTGGAACTTCCTTCACGTTTTAAAGACACAGAAAATTATTCCATTTTCTAACAAAAGTTAAATTCAGTTTTCAAAGAAACATCTATTATTTGAAGATAGCCATATACACTAATAGTTTAATATGTATTAAATTATTTTTAAAGGATTCAAAAGACATTCTCATAGGATATTAACCTGGGTAAATAAGTCAGAGTGTAGAACTTGGAAAGAACCTCAGATGTTATCTTACCTCATTTTATAGTTGACACAAATTAAAAATTTACACAAAGCCCAACCATAGTTAGCAGGCAGTAAAGTCTTCCTGAATGCCTGTTCAATTTTTCCATCACTATTTTTAAGATGCTGTTTTATTTTAACTCCATACCACCTCAGCTAGAAGTACATTCAACACTACTTCAGCCCTAGACATACCCAAGTCTAAATATATACATACACACCTCTACACGTGTATGTTATGTTTCTCTGTGTATATAATCTCCTATTAGATTATTAACTCCATATTCCCTGTTGTAGGTGCTCAAGAAACATTTTATGTGATACTAAGATAGTTTTGTTATTCCCACTTTATCTAAAATGTACAAATAGGCCATACCTCAAATGGCATCCAGTTTCAAAATGCATCCCAGATATAATGTATCCCACACCAAATGGAAATCAAATGATTAAAAAAGATTCTCTGTACTGCTGCATTTGGAGTATAGAAATAGAGAGAATAAGACTGTTTAACAGTATTAGGTAGACAGTAGCCAATGAAAGGGATAAGATTGTACATAAGGTGGGTAAAAATCTGCTTTAAATTATACTTCAATCACTTTTTATCAAATATTTTGTAAAATTTTCCTTTCTTCACAGCACAACTTAACAACTTGAAATCATTCATACTTCAAGAGTAAAACTGGCATTTTACAGGTATAAAGACGAAGAAAACATAGAGGTAACAAATCACCACATAACAAAAGCACATGGAGCTAAAGGAACAGTAGCACTCAGGAATACCCAAGGAAACTAGGAATCAAAACGACCAGAACAGAGGCTCTACTAGACTAGGTAGCTGGAGAAAACTAGTTCCTTATCAAATCAAAGAACAAATGGAAATTGGTTCCAAAACCCTTCTCCTTCCTCTATCATCAATAATAATATACTGTGTGGAAGATTATTATTGTACTTATCAGACTGTATTGCCTATGTTATTTGCTTACATGTCTGTCTTGGAAAGGAATGGAAAAGGAATGGAAAACATGTTAAATTAGTCAACATGAACTGGAATTATTACCAGTTCCAGGAAAGCAGTTTTGGTAAAACTGACTTTTCTATTTGAAGTCATTTTAAAATTATTGGGGCGACATTGGTTAATAAAATTAAATAGGTTGCAGGTGTACAATTCAATAATGTCATATGTATATTGTATTGTGTGTTCAAGAAGTCATTTTTTTAAGGGTGACAAAGGCCAAGGGCACTGAAAATACAGCAATTTTCTAAAAAGGAACAGACATGAAAAATTAAACTCACTGCTTTATTTTTAACATGTGCTTCCAAGCAGCTCTTTTGACATTTGCCTCCTTTATTTAACAAATCCAGGTTTCAAAATAATTATTTTGTTTGTAGATCTGAGGTAAAGCTTTATATAATATCTTTCAAGTCATATCACACATTTGTTATTCTTACAACATACGCATCAAAGGAAAAAAAACATGGAAGGTATGCAACTCACAAATCTTTGCACTATGCAAACTTCTTTTTCAGTTACAATAGACTAATTCACACATGATGGGAAAATATACTGAGAGGTTCTCTGACTTTGGAGATTACTGGCCAGCTCAGAGATTTATATTCTGTATTTTGTGCAGAATCCAGGAAATTGTAGCCTAGGCAATTCTAATGCAAGCACCCTAAAACACCAAACCTGACAGACTGGGCATTCTGTAAAAAAAAAATTTAGGTATTTAAAGAGAACAGAAAATTATTTCTGCTAAAAACAATTAACATTTTAAATGGTATTAATCAAGTAGGTACCTTTTAAAGGAAAAAAGAATGATCGAACTCACCTGTAACATACCAACAATTTCTACCTTATTGAAAAAGATGAAAGAGTGAAGTGTTGATAACATATTTTCTTCAAAGACTGAAGGGGTAGGCAGAACCATATCTTGTATATATTGGACTCTGTATGTCTGATGGATTTTTTGTTTCAGCTCAGGGTCTGATATGGGAATCACTTCTTTAAATTTGGCTGTTTTTGTTAAAAATTCCCTGTGTTTTCGTGGTTGTGATAAAGCAGGATCATATTCTAAGCATCCAATGACATCCATTATACATTCCTCAGAGAACATAACTTCAAAAAGAGCAGTTCGATTCAAGAGGAAGATGCCTTTGATAATTTCATACAAGTGGTGCAGTCCTTCAATATTTTCCAAATCTTCACAAACATGAAAAAGCTCTAGGAGCTTTTTAATATAACCCTCATTTTCCAGTGCTAGTGCAAGTTTTTCACGACGCAGGGGGGAAGGTAAAGACGATGCCACAAGTTCTGCAATTTCCTCAAGGCGACTTAATTCACAAGATGGCAATTCTAAACCTGGCGATGACATATCATCAAAACGCTCCTCTTCAGATTCATCTACAAGGTCCTGAGTGATGTCCACTGAAGGATCCTTTCCTTGAACCTAGTAAATCAGATTTATGATAACTGACACAGTACAGTCAAGCAAATCTAAGTGATATTCTTACGTGAATACAAGAAATGTTATAAGAAAATTATAATGATAATTTTAAGACTTTCCTTCAAATTCAACCCAACTTCCTACTTTTCTGAGTTGCATTTCTACAAATAATATATACTTTCAATTTTAAGGAAGGAAAATTCAAACTTAAGAGATGGGATGAGCCTCCTAAAGTGCAAGGTTTACCAGCAACAAAATGTTTTGGGATAGGCTAAACTGTGAAGAAAGAGTGCCCTGCAGACCCTCAGTGTAGAGGACTGATGCTAAAACATCCACTCACATCATCTACCCATGGCCCTCTTCCCATAGCAAGTCTCAGAAACATTCATAGCATTGTCCTCCAAGATAGCTATCAAACTTTAACAAAATTTCAAATATCATACAAAATACATATAATTATAAGCAACAAAGAGAATACTTAAATGTTAATTCTAGAAATCAAGGGCCAAAGAGCATGTACAAACTGGTTTTGGACCAAAGTGGGTCACTGATTTGCTATAAATGCTGGTTAGTAGCCCAAAAATATGATTAAGAAAAACTGGGTGGGTGGGAAACAAGTGCACCCACACAAAAAATAACTGCGACCTATATGTAGTAGAGCTATCCCCCAAGAGTATCTGCTCAAAGTTAGGCAGCCAAACCATGGAAAAGTTTTCCTGCCTACACACCCAAACCTGTAGCTTTCGTGATCTCCCAGAAGTCCTAGAGTTTGAAATAAAACCCCAACTTTGTCAGTGTAAGAGCTCTAACTATAAAAAAAATAGAAGTTTTGCTTTTTTGGCCCTATAATTCAAGACACTGCCACTAAAGTAGCCCCGGTAGGCCAAGTTGAATGGTAAAAGTATAGAAAAATTAGACCTCATTTGAAATGACCAAGAAATTTAAATTGCTTAGCATAGTTAAGAAATACTGTTGATGGATACTAGAAGGGAAGGCCTGGAAAATGTTTTGAAGTATGTTGCAAGGTGACCTTAACCCACTGGGCAGCACCACACATTTACAACTTGTACCTGGCACAGTCTCAAGTTGGCTTTGGCTTTGTTAATTACATAAGCTCTCATTATAACTTTAGATTCCTAATGCTCAAGCAATGGCTTTTTAGAAAAATGGTAGCATTTGATTAAAAAATGAAAAGGGACAAGAGCCCTCATTATAATGAAAATGCTATCTTAAGCTAATTTGCAAATATGATGGTTAAGGTAATCAAAAAGGACTGTATTTAGGATACTCTACAAACCTGATATACTCAGGAAATCAAGGTGAAATTGTAATATTTGACAAATATGTTTCAGCTTTACTTTCAGAACAGGGGCAACGGAAGGATGGAAATGAAAGAAAGGCAAACTAAGCTAAAAGAGAGAGCTTTCATTAAGAGAAGGATAAATCTTAGAAGTCAGTCTGGACAGATATGAAGAAAGAATATGAAGGCCATGATAAATACCAAAAGGAAAAAGATGCACCCAGATATAACTGCAATCAAAGAGTGTACTATAAAATGGTTTCTAGATCAAAAAATAGTGAATGGGGTCACAAAATTGAGAAACATATAAGATCTCAGAGAGCAAAATATAATCAATTCCCTAGAATAAGCCAGAATCTAGAAATAATGATTGAGAAGTACAGATAGGATCATAGGAGGGTGACTGAGAAATGAAATACTGAACATAAACTATGTAAAAGGTGGAAGAAAAGATCACAAAAGAAAATAAAATAGCCAGTGGGTTACCTGTGCCCCAAGTGAAGATGACTAAAAAATTTATGGTATTACAGACTAAGGAAAAGTAAAAGACAATTACGTTAGAGAAGCGCCAGGTATGACAGTAACAGACTGAGGTCTGAGTTAGATACTGGCCTAATAGAAGACTGTATCCAGAGGGCGGCTGTCCAGAAGAGTGAAGAACAAAACTTGTCTGAATGATGGATGCTAATAATTTTAGCATACCCTGAGCTCATAAATTTCATCTCTTTTCATGGGAGAACTTCAAAAGACAAAATCTAGAGGAATATGCTATAAAAACGCTTGTATGGGACAGAAAGTAAAGAACAAGCACGAAGGCATTCACATATTAACAGAAGGAAGGGACAGTCTGACAGGCAGGTTATGAAAAACAGCTGAGTAGAATACATAGCAGAAATAAATTCGGTAAGGAAAAACTGTGCCTCAAGGACACTGTAGCTTCTATTAAAGCAGTGGCTCTCAAATTTCAGGGCGGCTCAGAACTGACTAAAGCAGAGGTTGACAAACTACAGCCAAACCTAGCCCACCACCTGTTTCTGCTGCTAATTAAAGCAGTGGCTCTCAAATTTCAGGGCGGCTCAGAAACTGACTAAAGCAGAGGTTGACAAACTACAGCCAAACCTAGCCCACCACCTGTGTTTATAAATTATATTTTACATGAAGAGAACCACTCCCATTTATTATCTATGGCTATTTTTGCACTGAAGCAGCAGAGTTGAATAGGAGTTATACTGGCCCACAAAGCCTAAAATATTTACTATTAGGTTTTACCCTTTATTTACTTTAGGTTTTACCCTTTACAGAGAAAACCTGACCTAAAGACCTGATTAAAATATAATTATTGGTAGCTACTCACAGAGTTTTTGATTCAGTAGATCTGGGATAGGGGTCTGATAATTTGCATTTCTATTAGCTCCCAGGTCATGTTTGTGCTGCTGGTCTAAGGACCACACTTTGAGAAACAAGGAATTAAGGAATCTGCTGAAGAGTTTTTTTCAGCTGAAATAAATGTGGAAATAGAGCAATTGTGCTTAGGAAACAATGGTCTAAATGAGTACATAACAAGAACCAATGGCTTAAGCCATTAGACTACATAAAATGCATATTCACAAAAGACCATGGAAATTATGTCACTAGACTAAGGTACTAGAGTCACCAGGAAATTCAGAATCAACTGAGAACATGTAAGGTGAGGCCAAAGAAACAGTCAAGAGCTACAAGAAGTTACTGAACAAAGGGTGCTATGTTCAGATTTGCATTTCAAAAAAGATCACTCTAGCTGTAGTATGGATTTGGGAAGACCAATCAAGATAAAAACAATAAACCGGGCAAGAAATGATGGTGGCTTGGTAAACCATGATAGTGAAAATGATAAGTGAATGGATTTAAGATTTATAATTGAGGGACTGAATGGGTATAAGGGGTGAAGGAATCCACACAACTCACAAGTTTCTGGTTTCAGCAACTGGATGGCATTTACTGAGGGGAGGAAGATGGGAGAATGAATAGGTCAGGTCTAAGTGAGATTATATTTGGTGTTGGACTATTAAATCTGAGATGTGAGTGAGCACTCATGGAGGAGCTCTCCAAGGCAGCTGGATAGAAAACTTTGGCATGCATAGTAAAATGTCAATAACTGCACTTTCCTATAAATTGAGCTTTTTCACAGAAAACAGTGAATTTAACAGATTTATATGAAATGTCTGCCTATTTATTTAAAACAAAGGGCATTAGCTAAAAGCACAGCAAAAAACGAAATACTTAAAGAACATGTTGATTTTCTAATTTTTAAAATTACCTGACATATTTTCTCCCAAATTTCATCACATCCAGCTTTTTCTTGAAAGCTAAGAGCCAAGTCATAATTTTCTGCTTCCGACCACACAATCAAAGTATCCTTGAGAGAAAAAAGTCTGAATGATTAACATATATTATCACGGCTATTCAAAGTATAAGGCAAATGAGCAACAAGGAATGGAGAACAGTACTCTTTACTTTTTGCAACATTAATAGTGGTAATTACCAATGCCTTTTTACATCTCACTTTATCCAATCTACAAAATGAAAATTGTGTTTCTTTAAAGAGAATTTTAACCAATATATGAAAACCACTACAAAATGACACACGATCTAAATATACCAAAAGATACAAAGTAAATGTTGTATCAATCCTGTGCTTGCACATTAAGTTATATTTTATGCCTAAAGAGAAAGAGCATTTAGTAAATACATAGGGCATGTTAGGAGGATGGGATTAATAAACCTAGCTCCTCCTCCTCCTGTCAACATCAAGTGTTCTTTATCTGGGGCCCAAAGGGCCCACGAAGCCCTTGAAATTACTGGCTAAATTTGTAATATGTGAGCATTTATTTAGACAGAGGTTTTTAACTTTCACCAGTGTGGTGGTTCAAGAAGCAAGATGCTCCTATCACCTACCACTCCTTTACTCCTATTCACTTTATTGTTTTAATGATATTCTTTTAATTTTTAATAAACAGTTTAACAGTTTTTATTAGCATGTAATCTCAGCAAGACACTACACTTACAATACTATTTTATATACCCTGTAGTACAAAA